TGGTTCTTGGTTGGATGATGGAGAGGGATTTGGAATTATTTGATGTGCGAGCTTTTGATGCAAATCACCCAAATTGGATTTTTCTTCTCCTGTAGGTAATGGGATTATGTCTTCACGACCCATATTTCCTGTTTCTAATTCTTCTTTGGTGAATCGTTCCCCACAGCAAGCCTTCGAAAGCAAAGAAATAACATGTGCTTGCCCAGTTCCATCCATTACTTGATGCTGGCCTAAGAAAGTCAAAATAAGCCCATTTTTAATAAATGTAGCTTGCAAAATAAAAACTGGAACATCAGACGATTCACTAAAAATTCCAGGAATGGTACTTCTAGGAGCAACGAAACTTTCATCCAACATTCTAATGGGAAAACTAGCCTTTCTCAACTCTTCCATTGAAGGAATTGATCCTTGCTCACTCACATCCTTGACAATCAACCGAGGAATTCTCTCAAGTCCCTTGATTTTAAATACTCCAGTATCATCTTCCACTTCTCCTCTCTCATTCACCACTTGTCCTGCAACCCATGGAAACCCTTCCGTCAATCTTTCCAAACCTTTACTCAATGTCTCGAGAATTTCGTCTTTCGACTTACCATCTTCACCCATTGAATAACAAAAACATATTTGAGTGAATATTTTAAGTGATTGCTGTCCTAAAATGTCTAACACGACATCATTCATTCCGTTAGCTTGTATTGATCTAATTGGTACCCCGTAGATGTACTAGTATTGTCTAAATCTTCAAATGTCGCATTTTGAAAAGTGACGACATTATATGTAAAATTTAATTAGCATTTCGATAATAAGGACATAATATAAATACAGAGACAATACGATCAATGGGTTATCAGAATGTTCACGTTTTCTATAATAACACCGAGCACAGATGATTATTCATGTAAGGCATCGCTCTTGTCTTTTGATAATGATATAAAGATTTTGGCTGATCCGAGCTGGAATGGTAATAATCATGAAGACATTTTATACATGGAACAATACCTAAAAGAAGTCGACATAATACTCTTATCTCATTCAACACCAGAATTTATAAGTGGATTTGTCTTGTTATGTATAAAGTTTCCTAATTTGATGTCCAATATTCCTATTTATTCTACATTACCGGTAAATCAGTTGGGACGAGTTTCGACAGTTGAATATTATAGGGCTAATGGTGTTTTGGGACCATTGAATAATAGCATATTAGAAGTTGATGAGGTTGACGAATGGTTTGATAAGATTATACCGTTGAAGTTTTTTCAAACATTGAGTGTATTTGATAATAGATTGGTTATCACTCCATACAATGCTGGGCACACTTTAGGTGGTACGTTCTGGTTGATAACGAGGAGATTAGAAAAAATCATATATGCGCCATCGTGGAACCATTCTAAGGATTCATTTTTGAATAGTGCTAGTTTTTTGTCGTCGTCAAGTGGGAATCCATTATCACAATTGATGAGACCAACTGTATTAATTACAAATACCGATTTAGGGTCTACCATGTCTCATAAGAAACGGACAGAAAAATTCCTTAATTTGGTTGATGCTACATTGGCTAATGGTGGTGCAGTATTATTGCCTACATCTCTTTCAGGTAGGTTTTTGGAATTATTGCATTTAATAGATCAGCATTTACAAAGTGCGCCCATACCTGTCTATTTCTTATCATATTCCGGGACTAAGGTTTTAAGCTACGCGTCAAATTTATTGGAATGGATGTCATCACAATTAGTAAAGGAATGGGAGGAAGCGTCTTCTGTGAATAGTAATAGTTCGAATAAGAACAATTTCCCTTTCGACCCTTCTAAAGTCGATTTATTACTGGACCCAAGTGAGCTTGTTCAATTAAGTGGTCCAAAAATTGTCTTCTGTTCCGGTATTGATTTTAAGAACGGTGATATGTCGTCTGAGGCGTTACAATACTTATGTCAGGATGAGAAAACAACCATAGTGTTAACAGAAAAAACGCATTTTGGGTTAGATAATACAATTAACTCCCAATTATATCATGATTGGTACAATCTCACGAAGCAAAAGCAAGGAGGTAACGTTGAAGATGGGGTCGCTGTCCCGTTAGAAAAGGCAATTAGCTTGGAAAATTGGAATAGGGAAGAACCTTTAATAGGTGCTGAACTTACGGATTTTCAAGAAAAGATAAATTTACAGAGAAAGCAAAAGTTACTTGCTAAGGTAAGAGATAGAAAGAATCAAAATTTATTAAATGCAGATACAATAAATGGTGATGATTCTTCATCGGATGAAGAGGACGATGTTGTCTCATCTGATGATGAAGCTGTGGCATTAAAATATACTGAAGCACCTGCTAACGCGGATGCTTCCACCACAGCAAATGTGCCCGCTGTTGTCAAAGTTGACGAACTTTCAGCTCACGAAGCATTTATAACAGATCACGTCAAGCAAACTCTTGAAGCAAATCGTCCACTAGACCTCAAGATTACACATAAATTGAAACCTAGACAAGCAATGTTTCCTTATATAGTTGGTTCTCATAAGCAAAAATTTGATGATTATGGTGAAGTAATCGATATCAAAGATTTCCAAAAGCAAGAGGATACTAGTAGTAACAAATTAATCATGGAAAGTAAACGAAAATTCGAACAAAACGAGAAGCGTAAATGGGGTAATGTCGATAATAAGGGTAAAGGCCGTGGTAAAAACTCGGATAAAGATAACAATAACCAAAACAAAATCACACCTCAGGAACTCCTAAATAATCAATTGTTACAGAAAAACCTTGATACATTATTCAGCCCTCGAAAGAGAGTTCCACTCAATGCGGCATCTTCTTTTTCATCCAAGCCACAAGAGTTACGTATGAGGTGTGGATTGTCATTTGTTGACTTATCTGGTTTGGTGGATATGCGTTCGCTAAGTTTGATCGTTTCATCGTTAAAACCATACAATTTATTATTATTGCCCGATTTCAGTGCAAATCAAACCACAATCGAAGAAATGAATGGTTTAGCGACTGTTAAGCAGATGTTTGACCAACAACAAGATCAACAACAACAGGAGCAAAATAAGAAGTCCTTAGCAAACTCATCGAGATATTTATCTTTGGCAACAATAAGGGGAGGCATTTCGAATTTCGTTACAAGTAAGAACAGTGCTGGTAAGCTGGCAATTGTCGCCGTACAGTGCAATACACCAGTTAAGATTGGTGGTGACGACTCTGATGATACTGGTATCGGTTTAAGTAACTTTGAAATTAAATTAGATGATAGTATTATTGATAGCTTAAAATGGCAAAATATCGATGGCAGTTACAGAGTCGCCCAGGTGTATGGTGAGCTAGAAATACATAACCAAGATTTGCCTAATAAGAAGCAAAAGACTATCAGTGACTATATGAATTCATCGACCCAATTCACTTTGAAACACATTTCCAATCAAGACTTCTTAAAGCAACAACAAGCACTCGTAGATGCACATGCCGCAACTACTGGCCAATTACTCAATAATAACGGTCCAAAATTGGCCATTGGGAATATTAGATTGCCGGAGCTCAAAAAGAAGCTCATCAGCCGTAATATGAATGCAGAATTCAAAAGTGAAGGTACATTGGTTGTGAACAATAGTCTAGCCATAAGAAAGGTTACCTACAGCAGCGTAGAAGGTGAAGACACCGGTGACATAGTCATTGATGGTGCTATGGGCCCATTATACTACGAAATTAAAGACTGTATACGTGAAATGTTGGCCTATGTATAAATTGCATCAATTAACTAATAAACCTAAATCTAACGTCATATTCATTGTAGTAATCTATTTGCAGCTTAATATAGGTCTGCTCTGTAAGGTAAAAAAGTCGTGCGATTTTCAATTCGACTAATGGCCAATTAGCGCAACGAAAAACTAATTATGTCTATGAAATATATACTAGTCAAACATCCCCAGCTAATATTCCGATTGGCAATATAAACACGTAAAAATGCAACCATACTCAAGATCCGGCGGTACCAGAAAGTGCTTTTACGAATTCCAAACTTTAGTGGCATGCTACACTTCTGCTGATACGGAAACCAAGAAAGCATGCACACCTCAATTTGAAGATTATTCAGAATGCTTACATGGATTCAAAGAAAGAGAAAGAACAAGACTTATGTTACAACAATTGAAGGATAACGAACAAACTAATAGTGGTGTCACTGCATCAGATTTATATAAGCAATCGGGATCTGTGTACGAAAACTTGGACTTAGTTTCCAAATAATCTCCCCTATGGCAGATTGGCTCTGCAGTGCTCGGTGGTTAATTATTCCTGGCATGTTTTCTGGTGAAGTGCAAGTCGATAGAAATAAAGGAGATAAAAGAAATTTAAATTAAAAAAAAAAAAATAGACCTGGCAATATTTATTGGATTTTTGAGCTTAAAAGTCGTTAATATTGCCAGCAAATTCACATTCATGTAAATTACGATTTTATTTGTGTTATTGAATGTCTGTTCAATGAAATAATTGAAAATGGGGATTTCAGTAACCTATATGCATACACAAGATCTGATTTTTCTGAAACCATATCAAATCATTTACTTATAATATTAGTTCAATATATATCATTTACTATAAATCTTATCTGTAAGAATGGCGATGATCGTGGTTCTGTAATAACTTATAGTCTAAGATCTTTCGTATCAATCGTTTTATTGTCTTGTTGATCTTCATTATTTCATCAATAAAAAATTAAATTTTCCGATACCGGGAGTCGAACCCGGGTTTGCTCGGTGAAAGCGAACCGTGCTAGCCGTTACACTATATCGGAGAATTCTTAAAGTTGTAAGATAACACGCTTGTGTATATATAAGATATTGAAAAATTGCATCAATACAGAGGATAGTTTTGGTTTAATCCTACAGAAGTAAAACTGTTGCGGTGTTACCCTCAAAATTAGTAGAGCTTTGTTTATTATTAAATATTTGATTATATACAATATATAAGCACCTAAACTAGACACTCCTAGTTATGCCTATTAAGAATCATATCAAGCTGGTGGGGGAGGTGGTGGGTTTTTTTTAGACAGATGTGCTGGTGGCACATCATTTGCAGGTGGTGGTGGTGCTGGTGGCGCATCATTTGCAGGTGGTGGTGGTGCTGCTGGTACTCCATTTGCAGGTGGTGGTGGTGGTGGTGCTGCTGCTGCTGCTGCTGCTGCTGCTACAATACCTGAAGGTGGTGCTATATCTGAAGATGGCGGTGGGGGCGGCGCTATATCTGATGGTGGTGGTGGTGGTGGTGCTAAACTTGACGGCGGTGGTGGTGGTGGTGCCAAACTTGACGGCGGTGGTGCCAATCCTGCGGGTGGAGGAGGAGCATCTGTCGATGGTAGTGGTTGTTGGGGTCTCTGCCATGGAGGTAAAGGTACATTGGGCTTCTTCTTTTTCCATGGGGGCAATATTTCTTCTCTTCCGTTGTTTCTTGGATCCTCTTCTTCTCTTTGTCTCCTTGAATCAGAATATGGGGCCGTTTGTTGATAAGAGTCGGCTTGATCTTGAACAATTGGATTATTGTTGCCGTCAGCAGTTCCTCTAAATTTACAATCTCTTGCAAAATGACCAACCTTTCCACACAGTTTACAAACAAGCTGTGAGACGTCTAATCCCGGGCGCTGGCGTCTGGATTGCTGCGCTTCTGGATTATAAGGTTTAGTTTCTCTCAATGTACCATTCAATATAGCTAACTCTCTCAATTGACCCCTTTTCAAGTCATTTTGTCCAACTGGCGATGAAATGGCCTTCTCAATAACTTGATTCGTCAATTTAATAGCTTTTGCGATTTTCAGTTGAGAATCAGAGGTTATTACGACATGCAAATCATCACTTCCGCTTGAATTAAGATTTGGATTCGAAAACGATAATGAACTATTCGAGTCATCGTCATCATTAGTCGATGATGTGGACTTACCATCCTTCACAGACCCTTTTCCTCTAATAGCCAATCTCGCTCCGCTATCTTCTTGTAATTGTCTCAATGTATTACCTCTTGGTCCTAACAATAATCCCACAAAATTAATGTCTGGATAATCTTTAACGGGTATATAAATTTTCTCGTACGTCTTAACAGGTTTGCGATAGTCAATAGGCGACATATAATTCTTAATGTTACCAGCCGCAACTTCAACTAAATAATGCCTTTCTTTTTCAAGAGCTAGTTTGGTCCTCGCTTCTCTTGTATTGCTTCTATTACCGGCTGCATCATATTTTGGTGGTGGTGATGGTTCTCTTTCAAAATTTGGATTGTTTGCAATATTACCTGATGGGAGTAAACTTAAGACTTCTGATTGCAGTTCCAGAGCCATCCTTAATATATCTGAAATCTCCTCAATCCGAAAGTATTGCTGGTAAGCATCCATTTGTTCTTGAGTCAAATGGCCGGTTACAATAGTATCGAAATCTTCCTTTCCAATTTTCTTATGTCTTGATGGGGTGCCTGACCATTTTGTAGTATGTGAAGCCTCTACCTTTTTCTCTGATCGGCCTCTTATGTCCTGTCCATAGTTCAGGGGTCCATCTGTATATCTTCTACTAAATGCCGACATACTGATATTTCACAATCTTACAGAACCTGTCTAAATAGTTGTTTCAATCTCTTCACGGTGGTTGTGAATCTCGTAGACCAAAATTCTAACCTGCAATAATGAATGGTTTACAGTTTATGTCTAAGAATAGTACTTGCTACTCCGGAAATGAGCCAAACTAGTCTATATTGTTTCTATATTTCTATGTATATGCTATCGTACAAAGAGTGGTAATGGACTCGGTCTCATATATCAAGTTAATTTGTAAAATTGAGTTATTTGAGTTCTTTCCGCAAAAAAAAAGAACACCATATTGTCTAGGACAATATTTCAAGGCCCAATACAGTCCTTGTATTCCAAAGATCATGGCCTTATAAATCGTAATACACTGAGTTCTTCCCACCCTGCTTTTCTGAAAATTATCGTTTTGACGTCCCATCCCTTCTCTTGCATGGTTTTTGCAACTTCTTTCGGCTTATTCCTGGCACAGAATAAAATGTAGGCAACACCAATTTCTGGTGTTAAAATGGCATCCAATTCGTTTAATAATCTCCAAGTTACGACCATTCCATCCTCTCCACCCAAAAGAGCGAGATCTAACCACGTCTTATCTTCTTCCGTGGTTGGAATATTGGGAAGTTCAAATGCCGGAACATACGGTGGGTTGAACACAAGCATGTCTATTGTGCCGTGTCGTATACCAGCTGTTAAGTTCATTTGACATGAATCAAGGACATACGGTTCCTTCGTGCGCTTGGAATCAATGTTGTTGTCTTTATCAGTTTGCAAGACAGTTTTACATGCATGGGGATTGATATCTGTCGTGATAAACATCGACTGCGGCAATATGTTCTGCTGAATGAAAGTCGTAACAATCCCAGAACCCGTCCCTATTTCTGTAACCAACGGTATTCTTGATCTGAATCTTTCTGTAATGAACTGGTATTGTTCCTCTAGACAGTCTAATAATAAAAATGAGTCTTCTGCTGGTTCGTATACATTATCAATATCTATGTCTTTTACTATAGGAGTTGGAAGCATCGTTAAGTTTATAATATATTGCAGTAATCATCTAAAAAATCATTTTTAGCTGAAGCATTGAACATAATTTTTCAGTGAGAGTGCTCCCAAAAATCAATCAATCGAATACTCACTTCGTACCAATTCGAACTAATCTCTTGATACATAAGCTAGTTAATACACAATTATGCAAGTGAAAGTCAAAACTTTAACAGGTAGAGATATCCCGGTTGATATTGAGCCAACTGATAAAATTATTTGTATAAAAGACATGATGGAAGAAAAGGAAGGAATTCCCCCATCTCAGCAGCGTTTGATTTTCAATGGATCCCAATTAAACGATGATAGTACAGTCCAAGAATCGAATATAAATGCTGGTGCCTCCTTACATTTGGTTTTGACATTGAGAGGTGGATTTTAGAAGTTTAATGATAACATGTATGGGGGTGTGTTGGTTCCCTACGCCCTTCATTAGAGCAATATTATACCTGGTTCTGGGAGATTTAAGAAATCTTTGTATCCTCTTGATAAAAGCTTATTGGTCTTATTCTACTATAGATATACTTTACGACTATCAATATTACTAAGTTAATAAATTATATATCATGCAATTGAGATGCAAGAGAACTCGCCTTATGGAATTGTAGACTGGATAATAGAATTCCACTAATTTTGATCAGCCATCCATTTTTGGGCATTGGCCAAGAATGCGTTAAGGCCAGATATTTTAGATGGTTTGGCTTCTTCATCCTCTGGAAATATATAATCCAAGTATTCTTCTTCTTCGCCTTCTATTAATCTTCTTCTCTTGACTATGACAGGAAGCTTTTTGCTTATATCACGCAACGACTCCTCAGAACCATTGGCTTCTTCGTATTGTTTCCATGCTTCAATAATAACGGCTCTATCTTCTTTCAAACTATTTAGTTTGAAAAAATCATTAGCCTCCCGAAAAATGCTTCTAGTCATTCCTCTGTGTGTTTCATCGATTGAAAATTCAAATTCTTCTTCAGTGCTTTCTTCAAAAGCCTTTAATTGTGTATCAGTAGGAATCGACGACTCAAATAAGGCAAATGAAATCCAGACCTTAGGAGTTGAGACTCGTTCGACCAACTTCCTATATAACAGCCTAGCTTCAGCATATCTCATTTCTTCTTTGTAGTAAGTTATAAAGCGCATCAACATATACTCTAATGGGTTAACCTTAGTAAATATCTTATCATCTTCTACCAACTGAACACCCAATTCAAAAAGAGAAATACACCTTTGGTGCTCTTGTATATTTTTCTCAAAATCAATATAGGCCAATAGGGTATTAATAGTAGATAGATTATTTTCTCCTACCAATGATAATTCTAACCATTTCTCGTAAATCTTTCTAACTCTATCCCATTCACCCAATTTTTTTTCTAACTCAATATAAAATTTGAATAGTTTTCTTTTGGGCATAAGTGTACTTGATTGACCAATAGATCTACCTAATATCTTTCTTGCATTTGCTAATCCATTTTCTGGATCATTTCTTATTTCAAATTGAGCAAAACTTATCCATATCTTGGCAAATGTAAAATTTTTATGAGGAATAGCCTTCAATGCTCTATTCCAGATATTTCGAGCGTTCTCAATACTTCCCACAGTGAACTCTTCCCAAAGTGCATATTTGATCCATATGTAGATATATCTTCTCCAAACTGTAGATTTGAAAGAATCCGCCGGTATCACGTTAACTGCTCTCTCGCATGTTTCTCGTGTGACTTCATTGTTATTTTCTTGTTGTAAAATACTAATATAAGACCACCACGAATCGTAATCCAGTGGATTTTTTTTCACTTCCTCCTCATATTTCAATTTTCTTTTCATCATGATACTGGATTCAATAGTATCTTTATCGCCGTAGCTTTTCTCGAATTCGGTGTATGACAGGTAAATATGATTCCTTTGTTCCGGAGTTATAATTTGTTGAATAGTATCGCTTTTCAACATTAATTGGAATATAGCTCTTGCTCTTTCATATTCTTTCACTGATATCTCCCAGAGGGACCACTTATTAATTATTTCGGCAAGCAGTATATCTCCCCGTAATGATTCTGATGCTAACATTGTATCTACTGATAATTCAAAGACATTTCTGATTCGTGACACCTGTTCAGGGTCTATCGGGACGTCATTCATTTCAAAATCAATCCATTTCAACCATATTTCACCAGAGGAATGAATTTGAACGTATCTTACATAGATCTCCCTTGCATTGTCGTATTCGTCGTATCTTTTTTCATAATTTATATAAGCATCCCATGCAGAAGGATTAGGATTCCATGATAGCCATCTTTCAAAGATTATCCTAACCATTTGGTAATTCTTCAACGTTTCTTCTGTTTGCACATAAAGAAACCATAACTTGTCAACCCTAGGCAAAATGGTTACTGCTCTATCTAGCAAGTTTCTCGCATGTGTTATATTTTTATGTGAAAGCTCAAATTGAATGTAATGTGTCCAGAACGGAATATGCTGTACGTTCACCTCTAAAGCACGTTCAAAAATCGATCTTGCCCTAGGAAAATCATGATTATGGTTTACTTCCCACTTCGCATACCTTAACCACTGGCCGAAATTTAATCTATTCTTATTCAATTGTTGTTCGTACTCCTTTCTCTTGGTAAGCTGAAACGATCGTAATTCATCCAAGTCTTGGATCGATTGTTTAGGACGGTTTAAAGGTTCATCTCTAAGTTGAAAAGCATCTTGCAAAATCTGTTCACTGCTTATTTGTGAATCTGATACCTTCTCCTTTGACAACCCATCTGTATTCATTACTCTTTTTTACCCTTATGGTAAGTCTGTTTATTTAAGTTTTATGCTCATCAAGAATTTATTCTCACTTACATCTCTGCGAAATCTACATCTACATGTTCCATATTAATATTAAAATATTTGCTATTAACCCGGGGTTTTATGATTCAAGTCAACAGTGTATATCTATAGGTGTATATATGTAATCGCTTCAACTTAACAAAGGCTAATTTAATAGAATCCAATCCCAAAAACCAAAAAAAATTGCCTTCAGCCAGATTCGAACTGACGATCTCCTCATTACTAGTGAGGTGCCTTACCAACTTGGCCATAAAGGCTTAATTTAAAAGCTTAGATTAATATAGCAGCTACAATGTATCTTTGTATAGTTATACTATAGCCATATTCATTCTCTACAGAGTTGACCAATAAAATATATGTCACTACAAGTGTATTGTAGTAGTGGTTCTATCTGGCTAATATATTTGATACGGTTCTATTTAATAACTCGTCATATGACCTATGCGTGGTCAATTTTGTCTTAAAAGTTGGTCAGGCATATACAAAACTGATAACGATTCGAAGTAAATAACTTTACAACGTTATCCTTATTCCTATAAAAATAGCATATCGTATAGAACTGATGATAAAAATAAGTAGTGAAAGATGGCACAATTAAATAGAGACCTGCAAAACGAGTCAGACAACGAAACTGTTCCGTTATTACGGAGTCAGTTTCTGGAACAATTACAACAGGAACAGCAGCCACAGACCCATGATACCTCGATGGATAATGAAGATGTCCAATCAAAATATGAAGAAATCAGAAGAGAGTTGATAGAATTTTCAAAGAGAAGATTTTGGTGGTTTTGTTCATTAGGGGTAGTTGCAATTATAGCGATGCATTTATCATTTTTGCCGAGAACTTCATTAAGTAGGGATTTTCGGAGGTGGCATGGACAACACTTGACTAAATCGGATGTCAAGCGTAATTATCTCTTATTCAGTAGTATAGGAAATACCTACAATGAAGTGGCAAATGAAGATTATATTGACTGGTGGTTAGGCAATTTCACCTCAATAAATCGGAAAAATGATGAAAATTTGATAGGAGCTGATAATAACGAATTGCTTTCATACGTTAAGAAAAACTTCAAGAACTTAGGGTTGGAAACCGAGACACATACTTATGATGTGCCTAACTTGCAGAAGCCACTTTCGCTGTCAATTGAATTAATTAACTCTAAGACGGGAAGCAGCGTTTACAATGCATCTTTGTTCGAGCATTCCTTTAAAACACCAGCTTATAATGGATTTGGATTCTCCGGAAATGCTACTGGGGAATATATTTATGTCAATGAGTGTACTAATGAAGACTTTCAATTGTTACTAAAGAACAACATTGATCCAAAGAATAAGATTGTTATCGCCAGATCGAATATAAATTCTTATTTATCTACATCGGAAAAATTACAAATAGCGGAAAACTATGGTGCTATTGGTTTCATTGTCTATAATGATGTCAATGATATAAATGATACCAATAAGTATTTGAAACTGGCCATACAAAGAGATACTGTCGGATTCAATTTTTTCGATAACTCAAAGGCCATGGTTTGTCCATCCATTCCTTCGATTCCAATAAGCTTCAATTCTGTGAAGCCAATATTAGAGACTTTGGATTCCAATGTCGTTAATCGTGATTTTGCACACTGGCCTTTTGACCCGCTGATAAAAGCAAGGACTTTCAAATTGGAAATCATCACAAAATTCGCTTCAGAAAAAAATAGAAAGCTAACTAATGTCATAGGTTCCTTGCAAGGTATTATAAAAGATAGTGAAATAATTATCGGAGCTTCGCGTGATTCATTTACGAGTTCAAATCCTCTTAGTAGTCATGTTATTTTGTTTGAAATAATGAGAAACTTTCAGAGATTAAGAAATCTAGGATGGAAGCCATTAAGAACTATAAAGTTTGTATCCTGGGATGGTACTCATAATGGTCTCTTGGGATCTAGATCTTTCACAAATGATACTAATGCATTTAATTCTAAACAGCCAGTACTTTGTTATATTAACATAGATGGGGATGCTGTTATGGGTAGCCATTTTAAAGTAGACTCAAATCCGATGTTTAACCATGTCTTGAAGAAAATTTCTAGGTTCATTCCAATACCTAAGAATTCTACTATATTGAAGGCACAACCAAATAAGACGCATCATGGAATTGGCGATGATAATGATCATGAGGACGAAGAATTCACTACTTTGCATAACTATTGGGCAAAACAAGATAACGTATCTATAAATAATTTGCTTGGAGAACTGATAAAAACTTCAGATGCTCTTGTTTTTCAGAATTTCTTGGGGGTTCCACTGATTAATATCAAATTCGAAAATGACCCTCTACGCGATCCAGCTATACATATTCCTAACTCAAATTATTATTCATACGATTGGTTGATCAAAAGTAAAATCGATAACGATCTATTATTGCATGGTCTGTTAATTAGATATATGGGATTATTGGCTGTATCCCTAGGTGATCATGAGGTCATATATATGAAAACATTCCTGTATTTCCGAAAAATAGGCTTATATTTTGATAAATTCACCACTGAAAGCAAACCCAAACTTCGAGACTGGTCGTCCAAAAAAGTACCGTTGCACTTAATCGAGAAATCAAGTCTATATTCAGGCTTAAAAGATGATGTGCTGGACGGTAAGATCCAGTTTTCCATGTTGTTAAAAGAGATTCATTCTTTACTTGAAGATTTAGTGGAACAATCGCTAGCTCTAGATATCTACAATGATGATATTGCACGGAAGTTGATAGAAGATTTTGCGTGGTACAACCTGTTAAAGAAGTTGAAAATATATGCTCAATATAAACTCGCTAACTATAGATTACTGCATTTTGAAAGCGCTTTAACATTGAACAATAAAGATTATCAATATATATATAACACTAAACAAGAGGGGTTTTTTAACCATGTGTTATACGGTGTTCCAGAATTCTCTACTCGTGAAAACAACACCTATTATTCGTCTCGTGTTAATCATAGTATGTTTCCATATCTTTATAGATCATTGAAAGATGATAATTTTGAACTTACTGTTAAGTGGATTGTTACTCTTTATGAAAAATTGCATACAGTAAGTAACAAGATCACATAATTCTTAATAATTTGAATTTTCTATTATTACTATATACGTTTATACATATAGAATCATCGTTTTAAATACCGTCTTATAATAGTTTGCTGCTGATAATTTGTTGCAAAAAAATTGTGTTTAAAACGCGCTAAAGCGCCGCTTTTCTAATTTTACAGCCATTTTTTTAGTATTCACTTCTTAAAAACGACAAACTATCTATCATAATGAACAATAATATTAACAATAGCAATGAATTGATTGCTAAGGTTTCTGTTGACACTGGGCTTAGTACTGCTTGGTTATTAGCTACTCTTGGGTCCAAAACAACATATAGGAGGTTGGTGAGAAAGGATATACTAAGTATCTCAATTCCTCAGACGTGCGATATAATTGGTAATCCTCAATCATCAATCCCTCTAAGATTGTCATCTAACCTATTATATGGGGTTTCATTAATGTATAAGCAAAAAATAGATTATTTTTTAAGTGATGTATCGCTTATCAAAACCAAACTCCAGAAAGAGATTTTTTTAAATACATTGACAAATAAACAAAACTTCACCGTTATTAATATTAATCACCTGCAATATGATAATTTTAAGGCACGAGATCACAATCAGATATTTCTCAAGGAAGATCCGTTCTTCGACGTTAGCAAAGATTTGTTTAAACCGTTCACAGGGTCGGAAGTGCAGGATGAACGTAGAATACGAATTCAACAACTAGATCAACAGCTTTATTACGATGCGAATCATTCTTTATTTGCTTCTACTACTGGTCAAATCACGATAGTACCAGATGTACATACTAAGACTATTGAAAATTTTATGGATCAAGAATTGCACACGCTAGATGAATTAAGCGAAAGTCTCAAATCTGATGCTGCAGTGGACTTTGAATTTGGCGATGATGGAAAAATAGTGGATATAGATGCTAACAACAAAGTACATGAAAATGAAGATTTAAGTATAATTGACTTTGACCAAATTATTGAGAGAAGTGTAGATTCAATTGATAGTATAACTGGTGGAGCCTATGAGAAAACTATAACAAATGACAAAACTTTCCATATGTCGCATGATACGCATACTAATCAAACAACAGTTTTAGATACAATAAAGTCAACAAAACGCAAACGAAACTATAGGAAGGTAATAATTGATGAAAATATGAAAATTTCTTCAAGTGAATTGAAAAATTTTAGAGATAGTTACGACACTATCATGAATATTCACAATAAAAGACTAAAACTTGCAACTTTTGCGAAAGAAAGATTTTCCACTGTTAATGAATTACTCTACGAAGAAAATAACAAGGAGCCCTTTGCAACGAAGTACACTTGTAAGTGTATATTTGGTCGCGAAGTAACGGGTAACATTCAATTAAATCCAAGAATACCTCAAAGATGCAATTCTAAACAATTGAGTGACGACCTCGAATTTGGTAGAAATATTGAACCCAGAATCAATGATGAAGAAATGGATAAATTCAACTTTGAAATTGAACAGGACATACCTCTAGAATTCAACGATCTGCAGGATATATTTGATTTATCCTTTCCTGAGATTAACAACAGCGAACTTAGAAGTAGGAGCAGAAGTAGGTCGGGAAGCAAACGGTCCCGTTCTAAGTCAACTAGATCATCCAGCGTACCACACGATCAGGAGTTCCTAGAAGAAAGCCTTGATTATACACCAGGTGCTCCTCATTTATTAACTCAACGAGTTAGCTCGCAGACTAAGATAACGGCTACGTTGATTAAGTTCTTGAATTTTTTGCAGTCAAGAAGTATTTTGTTGGGAGAGCACATTAAAGCCGACTGCAAGTTGAGCAGAAATTACTTTCAACATGTCAACAAAGAAGTGTCTAATTCGAACGAAGTAGTGTATTCCAAAATCAAATTCTCGACTCTAATCCCGCTGCTTAAGAGTAAGCTACAAAATGGAACCGAAATTCCAGTCAATCGAAATTTGGCCGCGAACTCATTTTCCAGTATATTAGAATTAGCGACAAGAAACTATATTATGCTTGAGGCCGAGAACAATAGAAACTTGCAGACCGGAGATGAAATTGAAATTCTTATTGAAATTTAATCTGAAATTGTCGGCCCAATTTCGAGGCGGGCATGTTTCGTCTACGAAGCATTTTCCCTATATCGCTGCTAAACTAAAATTGTCTAAGTATGCAAAAAATATTATACTAGTAATCTATATATTATCTTTCGATATAGTAAAGTTAAGCCGCGTCATAACAGCAAATAACCGATTAACGTACACCAGATATCCTACTATCTCCGTGTTAAATAATAAAACATACATTAACTAATACATAATACAGAAGAATACAGACAAATAGTAAATTAGATCTGTCATGTAAAAGAAGTCAAATAACAGGAAATTACGTTAAAATCAAACTTATTTGTTTTCAACAACATCGTCATCGTGCTTAGCAAATTCTTCTTCTGCTGCTTGGTCTAATTCACCATCGTAGTGTTCTTCTTCATCATATTCAGATTGGTGTAAAGACAAGGTTGGTCTGACGACTGCGGAGTCGAGAGTCCAAGAGGCCAAAGCGTTTTCAGCATCAATGATAATTTGCTTGGAGGCATCGTAACCGTCGTAGGCTGGTCTAGTTTCACCTGGGGTGACAGCAGAGTCGTCTAACAATTCCAATAATGCCTTACCGTAACCAGCAATTAAGGCGTATTTTTCTGCTAATTCTCTGGTAGCGTCGAATTGGTAGTTGAATGCAGCCTTAATTTGTTCTCTGGTGATGTTGGATAATTGGGCTTCAGCAACCAAGGATTCAGCTTCAGCTCTGACCAATTCCTGTTCTAAAACAGAAATCTTTGGCGATTGTGGGTCCTTGTACTTCAAGTGAGCAATCTCGTCAGTGATCTTTTGCTTTCTGTCTCTGGATGGTTGAACAGAAGCTTCAATGTTTCTAATGGTCTTCAAGGTAATTCTGTATTGGTCATACTTGTCAATGTATTGATCTTCCAATTCACCGATTTCGTAGATTAAAACACCCAATTTGTCAGTGACATCCGAAACGTCTTCGTCGTTTCCTTCACCCCATAAACTCAATTGCTTAGCAACATCTCTTCTTTCTCTAGCAGTCAATTCCATGGCTCTCATCACATTCTTTTCCATCTTGACGAATTGTGACAATTTTCTGGACATTTCAGGACCGGTGCTACCAGCAACAGTTTTACGGAAAGAGGAAGCAATTCCACCCTTACCGAAAAACTTCGACTTGGTAGAAGATGGTGGTGGTGGAGGCGATTGCAATTGTGCTGCAGTAGGAGCTTTGCTGGATCTCAAGGAATAAGTTCTATGCATTTTATCTGTTAAATTTATCAACTCAATATTTGTTATTATCCAATTGGGGGACTTTCATCCCTTTAAATACTTGGAAGGGTGAATATTGTCAAGGAATTTTCAATGACTTCTTTTTCCGGATTTTGTGTTACTTGCTATTTTCAGAATATGGTAACATCGAAATAAGCCGCATCGGTTTATATTGCTACCAGACTTGTAGATAGGGCCATTATTGCCTCTACGGCACATATATGGGACTAATAACCCGACAATCATGTTGTGGTCATCTTGTACTTCGTATTACAACTTTTATTACGTCCAACTTGTCCGTCAGAGACCCATTACACTACGATTTGCTTTTCGTCTTGTTATGTTCGCCGAACATAAACAAGCATCTTGTTGACGTATACGACGTACGTAGAAATAGTTTAGATGTCGAAAGCTTACATAAATCCACCAAATGTCGCAAACCAAAGAGAACATTACGTCATGGGAGAAGCTGCCTAAATAGGAAAATGTGAGATAGTGTACAGTGTGCAGGCGGAACTAGTGCGATGGCGTCACGGGGCAGAGGCGGGGAAACATTATAGAATAAGATTTGGTGTTAGATTTTGGGAGAACAGAAGGCTTGGGAATGATGATGGAAATGATATATATGGATAGTGGTAATAACAAAGTCAAGATAGAGATATAACATTGAGAGGAGAAGTGTAGGGGAACATCGCAATGGGAGGACCTTGGAAGACCTGGTCGTATATTGGTGCGTATACCGATAGCGAATAGCCATGGGATATTTATATACAGGAGATTCTATGCGTCGCAGAAGCTTCCATATGGAAGATGATACGAAAGTGATCTCCAGTTGCAGCCAAGGAACAACATGAGGCAATAGACGTTTCACTGAGGAGTGTGACCGGAAGAAGAGGGGATCAGATATTTGGTAAGAGACAAGGACATGCATCTCGTAGCTATCCGAGCTCCAGTAAAACCAGGCACGTATGCATTGGGCTTGATAGCCATGAGACGGAAACTACCTCTACGAGAGAACTATTTGTGAATTAAGATTACGTAAATGCATTTGGTATATGTGCATTATACTTACCATCGTATAATGATGTCTACATTTTGTGGCCAACTATCCATAGGGTTGACCTGCAATAGTATGTATCCTATACATTGAACTTACCTCAATCAGCTCGCCAGAAATCATCCGTATTCTACAAATCTGTATACATTTATAATATTATCATGTTATCTACACATTAGGCTTGGATTTCTTACTACGACCTTCGGTCGAATCGAGAGCACGCTTGTGTAACGACAATCCAGACAAAATCCTCTTGTAATCCAGCTCCAACGACGCATAAGCAGTCTGCAATTTGTCCAAACGGGTAGGCTCATCTAACCCGTCCAATATTTCTTTGTTTTTTTCGTATAATCTCTTTTTAATAAACAACCTTACCTGTTTTTTGGAGATGTTCGTGAGATTGTGTTCCAATTGGTAGATCAAAATCATTTCCAATAATCTTGAAAACTGTCTTTTTTCCAATTTCTGCTCTTGTCTTAAGTTAGTTGCCCACTCACTGTTAATCAAAGGTAAGTCAACTGATGCCACTTTGATGGTGTTCTGGCACAATCTGGTCAAGTCACATCTATCTCTTAAATCGTCAAAGCTTTCACTAGGATCTTCCACCACAACTTCAATCACTCGAGGATCTTGCATCCAATATTCATATAAATTGTTATAAAAGTGCCCTCCCAATTTCAACCCCTGGTACATTGGCAAGACAATAAACTGAGAAATCTTCTTGCGGACCTCTTGTTGGTTTGAGTCAAATTTCTCAAATCCTCCGTATTTCCAATAGTTGTACGCTGTGCAGAACCCAATGATACTTGGGGTTTTCTCATCAGTGACCTTATACATGACATAAATATCCCATAACTCGTCTTGATGGTCAATATATGAACCCGCTTCAATGAATAATAACACCAAGATTTGTAATCTCTTATGGAGTTCTAATCCTTGTGCATTCTTTAAATCAAGTTTGTAAATTCCAAATTTATCCTCTCCGTGGGTGAAAACATTTCCAACCAACTCTCCAGGAATTTCGAAACCTTCTTTTTCCTTATTTATCGAATCGACCCACTTGACTTCATCCTTGAAAATGGTAGACTCTGGCAAATAACTCAATAATTTTTCACGGGGGTCTTCAAGTGTGTCATCATTCAATTTATCACTATATTTGACATTCAAAAACGGGTAAAACGTACAATGGTCAAAACATAGGAAGATTACCAAGTCCCTGTATCCGAATATTTGTTCTGAATCTCCAAATATTGGATATGTAAAATTCGGATGAAAATTCAAGGCTGTTCCATCTGAATCAGTTATATATATTTGCAATACATCATTTGACGACGATGTCCACAACTCAGGTTGTAAAGAAGCAGCCGTTATACTAGGTGAATCATCACTCATCTTAATGTATTTACCTGTTTGTCTATTATTACAATTATCATATTTTATTTATTCTCGTCTATTCAACTTTGAAACCGCGTCAGTATCAAAATCTCATTTTTCGAGTTAACGGACGCAAAGCTGATTTTAATCTTACTGCAATTTGTAGACCTAGAGATATGTTACAGACATGAGGATGTATTTATATATCTAATGTTGTTTATTATATATACAAAGTTATATAACGTTTCTAATATTTTTATTTTATTCAATAATTGCAACCAAGTCACCAGCATCAATGATATCTCCATTCGTATGAACAATCTTCACAACTTTACCGGCTTTTGTAGCCCCAACAACCATTTCTGTCTTCATAGCTTCAACAACAATTATACCTTGCCCATCTTTAACTTCATCACCAACTTCAACAAGAGGCTTCCAAACTCTACCTGAATACTCAGAATATACCTTCTCAGCATTTTCACCATAGATGTCCTCGTCACTCTTTTGAGTAACAGAATTCTTTTCCAAGTCGGCATTAGATTGCTTAATAAGGTTACTGACTTCTTCTATCTTTTTTCCGCTTTGTTTCTGGAATTCGTCTATAGAATTTGAGTTTTCTTGGACCCAGTCTAAGTACTTTTTGTGGTCGAATACAGATTCAACAATATCAACCTTGAATTTACCAGCAGAAGCTTCTTCAGTATACTTATCAATTAGTTCTTCAGAGACAGGATAGAATTCAATTTGGTCAAATGGGGATAATAACCATGGTTTGTCTGAGCTGGTTCCCAAAGTTAATCTATCCCAAATTGGAATAGTACGTCCGATTAATTGATAACCACCAGGAGAATCCATAGTGTAGATACACATATAACTACCCCCAATACCAACAGCACCGTTAGGAGTGTACGTACGAGAAGGGTTATATTTAGTACCGAACAATCTGTGTCTTGGATCTAATGGTACCGCACATGGAGCTCCAAGGAATACATCACCTAATCCAAGAACCAAGTATCTGGCAGAGTACATCATATCCTTAATATCATTTTTCGTTAAACCGTTAATCTCAGCAATAAAGTCTACGTTGCTTGGCAACCAAGGAGCGTCAGATCTGATTGTTTCTTGGTATCTCTTGACCGCATCTAAGGTCTTCTTATCCTCAAAGGCCATGGGTAATTTAATGATTCTTGAAGGAACCTTCCACTTATTGACAAATGTAATCTCTTTTTCAAAAGAAATCAAAGTATCAACTAGTTGTTGCTGAGTGATTTCGTGGTTATATTCAATCAAAACAGATCTAACACCCTGGGACATTTCAACGATTCCTGGTGTATTATTTTCGTGGACCATGTTGATTAGCTTGTGAATTCTATAACTCAAATTCAAGTCTAAAGTATTTTCACCATATTCCACAAGGATATATCTATCACCAGCTTGACGATATACAACCGATGGCGCTTTTGTATTAGGCTTATGTTCTGCGATAATTGGATTTTCAGGTTTTGTTAATACTTTACTTGCGATGCTTGGTAATTCACCTTCCAAAGTTTCGATCACCTTATCTTGACTATGCTTTAATTCCTTAGCATCTTTATAAGAAATAGGAACGAATTGAATAAAATCACCAGGCTTGACTTGACCAATCTTCCACATCTCTGCCTCAGCAATAACAGCTTGACATACAAATCCACCCAACGAAGGACCATCACAAGTCAAAATGACTGGTTCGTCACCTGTGAAGTTAATTGCACCCAATGAATAAACGTAATCGTGTGCATTTGAAGGATGCAAACCTGCCTCACCACCGTCTGCTCTAGCCCACTTTGGTTTTGGACCGATTAACCTAACTCCAAATCTATTTGAATTATAATGAACTTTCCACTTTTCACTGAAGAATTCCTCTATTGATTCTGGTTTGAAGAAATCTGGAGAGCCATGTGGACCACATGTAACACCGACAGTCCAATTCTTAGTTGAATTGAAATCATAAGTTGGGATCAAGCATTTTGGAATTGGTGATGGTTCAGAAACGGCAGATGGCAATTTGCAGCCAGCTATCTCTGGTTGACCCAAAAATAACACATCACCTAACTTCAAAACTCTTCCATTATGGCCACCTAGGTTACCCAAGGCAAAAGTAGATCTTGAACCCAAGTATTCTGGAACATCAATACCACCTCTGATCGCTAAATAAGCTCTGCAGCCAAAGGTAAGTTTACCAATTGTCAATTTGTCACCTCTTTTAATGTGAATTGGAATCCATTGATCAATAGATGTACCATTAATTTCAACAGCAACAGAACCACCTGTGACAGCAATTATTGCATCGTGGTGGAATAACATTTTAGGACCAACAAAAGTAATTTCAATACCAGGGGCAGTCTTATGATTTCCAACAATTCTATTAGCTAATCTAAAAGCATAATCATCCATACAACCAGATGGTGGGACACCAATATGCCAGTATCCTTTTCTACCTGGGAAATCCTGGACTGTAGTATAAGCACCTGGATTCAAAATTTCAAATGCTGTTGGGTTATAATCATAGGTATCCAATACTTTTGTAGCAACCTTTGCGTCGGCGAACATTGATGAGTTGGCGATTGATCTCAAATAATCAATATTAGTAACACATCCATGGACAACAGTTTCATTAAGTGCATCACGTAACTTTCTTAATGCATCAATTCTATCCGTTCCATGAACAATAATTTTTGCTAAAGTTGGATCGTATTCAGCAGAAACAATAGTACCTTTTTCAACCCATCCGTCAACTCTTGCCCAAGATGGAAAGGATACTTCAGTTAATTGACCTGGAGAAGGCATAAAGTCTTTAACAGGGTTCTCTGCATATAACCTTGCTTCCATTGATGCTCCAGTTACAATTATTTCTCTATTAAAATCTGGCGACTTGTCAGCAGCAATTAATAACATCCATTCAACTAAATCTAAACCAGTTACCATTTCAGTGATAGGGTGTTCGACTTGTAAACGAGCATTCACTTCTAAGAAATAAAATTCATCTCTCTTTTCGTCGTAAATGAATTCAACTGTACCAGCACATTTATAGTTGATCGATGCAGCCAACGATTCAGAAGCTTTCCTCATTTTGATTCTTGTCTTCTCAGATAAGTTTGGTGCCGGTGTTTCTTCTATAATTTTTTGGTTACGACGTTGTAACGAACAGTCTCTTTCTCCTAAGGCAATCGCTTTACCATATCCATCACCAAAAACTTGAACTTCGACATGTCTTGCATCTTCCACAAATCGTTCGATAAAAACACCCGAATCGCCAAAATAAGATTTACCTTGGTGTTGAACTGTTTGGAAGACCCTTTCAATATCATCTTCCGAATCAACTTTCTGTAAACCGATACCACCACCACCAGCAGTAGACTTTACCATAACAGGATATTCTAATTTCGCAGCAATTGATTTGGCCTCTTGAGAATCCAAAACTAAGTCCGAACCTGGAACTAGTGGAACACCGGCCTTAGCAGCAATTTCTCTAGCTGAATGCTTTAACCCTAATTTTCTGATAGCATCACCAGAAGGACCGACAAAAACAATACCCTCTTTGATACAACGATCAGAAAAGTCTGCATTTTCTGAAAGGAAACCGTAACCAGGAATAATGGCCTCGGCACCTGAAAATTTTGCAGCCTCGATAATTTTATCGATGGAAAGATATGTTTCCGAAGGTGACACCCCATTTAATGATATAGAAACATCTGCCATCATTGAATGCTTAGCATACTTATCAGGATTTGAATAAACTGCAACGGATTTGACGTCTAATTTTTTCAAAGTTTTCATGATTCTAACTGCAATTTCACCTCTATTAGCAACTAATACAGTTTTAAAAGGTCTCATGGTTTTATTGATCTCTTTTTCTAAGAAAGATTGGTAATTCTTCCATCCTCCAAATTCTGTGATATCCACTGTACCTGGTAAATTATATCCAAACTCTTCGCAAATAAACGATTTTACCCATTCGCCGGATTGCAATTCTGCTGATCCAATACCCAATGGCTCAGGAACCATGCCCATGAAATCTCCAAATCTCTCCTTCGGAATAGCATAAACCTCTACTTTGATACCTGCACCGAATTCAGTAACTCTTCTCAATCCTGGTTTTGCAACTGGCCCTGTCTTGGGTAATGCGTATAATTTATAGTTTGGTGATGTTTTTGTTGATTCAATAAATGTTGCATGGCACTTTTCCAACTGCCAATGTAATTGGAATCCTTTCAAATGCGCTCCTACAACAGCAAGTTTGATTTGTGTGTTGAAGTTAATTTCCGGTAATTTTAATAACTCGTCACCCATAGTAGAAACATTCTTATCTTGCAAACAACCTAAAAATCTTGGGGTTGATTGAGAATATAATTTCATGTAACGATTTGCTAACTCAAGTAAAGCATAATCATTAAACTTATGCGATAACAAAGTGATACCGAATGGTAAGCCATCAGGGCGGAAACCGGCCGGTATAGATAATGCAGACATGTCGGCCAAGTTAACAAAATTAGTGTAGGTACCTTGATATGAGTTTATTTTGATTGGTTCTTCTTCTATTTGTTTAATGGTTGGATTCAATGGAGCAGTTGGAACGATAACCACATCTATTTCCTTTAATAATTTGTTAACCGTTTGTAAAATTCCTTGTCTCTTATATTCGAAATCAAATGCAGTAGCTGCCGAATATTGTTTTCCACCTTGGATAATCGAATTTACGACAGGATCCAACGTCTCCTTTGGAGGGTTAGTAGCTAAGAAATCTTTCAAAGCCGTATACCTTTCAGAAACCCAAGGACCTTCGTAAAGACACTTGGCCAAATCCAATAATGGTTCAATGTCCAACGACACCATTTCACCTCCTAACTTGGAAAAAACGTTCACCGCTTCATTGTATAATTTAGGATTAGTTTCTTCACCAAACCACAATAAGTTGTTAGGAACGGCAATCTTTGGAGCCAGGGAAAATTTCACTAACGGGTTCTTTGGCATTACTCTAGAATATTCATCTTGTTCACCATCTTCATGCGCCATTACGTTAAACAATAATTGTGCATCTTGCAAATTCAACAGGAAGATAGAAACACAATCTAATGACTTACATGCTGGAACTACACCCTTACACGAGAAAACACCTTTTGTGGGCTTCAATCCAACCAAGTTATTCAATGCTGCCGGCACCCTACCTGACCCGGCAGTATCCGTTCCTAATGCAACTGGAACAACTCCTCTCGCTACAACAGATGCAGACCCAGCAGACGATCCTCCACTTACATGATCCTTGCTGAATGTATTGGGTGTAATTCCGTATGGTGACCTGGTTCCAACTAATCCTGTGGCGAATTGATCTAAATTGGTCTTACCTATGATAATAGCACCTGCATTTCTTAACAACTTCACAGTCGTAGCATCTTCTTCTGCTACATAGCTAAATGATGGACATGCAGCAGTAGTAGCAAAATCCTTTACATCTATGTTATCTTTCACAGCGATAGGAACCCCGTATAAGGGTAAACTCATTTTATTCGATTTTGATTGTAAAAATTTCCATTGATGGGTCAAGCTCTCTTCATCTGCCAAAGAAATCCATGCTGGATCTTCTGTCGACTGGGACTTGACCAATTCTACCAATAGAGCGAATGATTCGTTAGGAGTGTTCTCGAAGTGGAATTTAATCCAATCCTGAACAGTCCATCCAATATATGACATTTTAAGCACTTAAATTACTCGAAGTAAATATTAAAGCAATATTCTAAGCTAAATATATTTAAAATTAATAATATATTTCAAATTTCAAATCTCCCATATTAAAAGATACTACTACCCTATATATATACGCCAATAAATAGTAAAATGCCTTATCAGTTCGTACTAGCCCGAAGCTATGATGATCTCGGTTCATCTGCAGTCTAAATCTGGAGATATAAACGGTCGGGCCGTCTATCACTAGATTTACCTAACTAAGACGGCCCGCTTGGCCTAACTATCAATTTGGATACTGTGGACACTGGTGATGGCTCTGTAGTGTACAGTACTTGATTCTGTATTTCTATTGGGCGATCTCGTTGTCATAATTCTGATATCGGCCCAATCACGCCGTATACTGCGGTCGATCGCACTTTATAGAAAGTACCGGGCCAAGATGGTTAGGCATAGTGTACTTTCGTATGGATAATCGGCGTGGCTTTCCAAGGAAGAAATGTGTCAAAATGCCATTAAATGTAGTATTTAAAGCGTATATGTTAGAGGATTCATACGGAAGGTATGCGAAAAGTAAGCTGAACCAATCGGGTCGCAAGAAACGTAAATAAGAATACCATAGAAACATTGCACATAATTGAGAATGGAACACTCATTAATGGCGCCGTTGTGGTTTTAGTTCCAGTAGAGCAAGAAGTAAATTTTGCGGCAATACTTGATTTAATAAAATTTCAAATATTTCAATTACTATAAATTCTAAAATACACTTTATGTACGAAAGGATCATTCCTTTTTGGTGTCATCTATTACGTCGTCAATTTGCCTTGGTGTTCTGTAGCCGTCATCGAGGGTTTTACCATCGACTATATGGATTTGGTTGAAGTTGAGTACATGTGCACTGATTTGGGAATTAACTGAATGTAACTTTTCAGGGTTAGAATTTTGCCATTCTCGTAACTTGTACGTTTGACCAGTACAGTCCCAATAAATACCTCTCATGGTTATATAAATACCTTCTCTTCCCTCCCACAAAGGACATATAACAACCAAGAAAGCAGAAAAGAAAATCCAGATAATAAGTACCACTATCCATCCTGTGAAAAACTTTTTGGAAAAGACGTATGATGAGCCGTACATTGGCATAGGCCATAATATGACAAGAGATAGTGTCAAAGAAATACATATGATAACAGCCTTCTTGAATGATTTATTGAGCATTTTAGATTCAATTTCTAATTGATCCGTTTTTAATTCTGCAAGTTCGCTAGCAACAATACTAATTTGGGATTTTGCAGGATGAACATTTTCAAAATCGCCAGAGTTTGTTCGTTTCCCTTCGGTAGCTTCGGCTATTTCTTCTTCTTCATCAACCCTTTTGATTTCCTTTAAAATGTTCCAGTCGAAGTTTTGCGGTTTGAAAGCGTAAGTAAAGATTGGAATAAAGATCAATGGGGATAATAATGCAACCACATTTCCTGTTAACATCGAATCATCTTCAAACGTAGTATCAACAGTAACCGTCTTGAACTTCATTTTTGTACAAAGTAACCAAGAGAAAATGGCAAAACCAGTAGATAAAATTGGCGTGAGGATGACAGCTTGTTTGTTTTGTTTTTTGGAGAGTAATGTAAGAGTAGAAGGAAGCACGGCTCCTCCGATTATTATACCCATTAACTCATACAAGTATCCCATAGAAATTCCAGCATAGTATAAACCAATTGCAAAACCTGCCATCACGTAGGCAAATGCTATCACAGATATGTGGGACATGAAGATCAATTTTTTACCACTGGCCTTTGGATCCACATAGGTCCTGAAAATGTCATATGTGAAGATAGTGGAAACCGCAATTAATTCTGCAGACATTGCTGAAGTTACAGCCATAAACACCAACAACAATGAGCAAACAGCACCTCCTTTTCCTAATAATGCAACTGCAGCATTTGGTAATACCAACCCAGCACTCACTTGTTCTGGAGTTAATTTATTAGGATATGTAGGCCAATACTGGGTGTTTTCTAGCGATAACCCAACAAGACCCAAACATGTTGAAGTTAACATTGGGATTGCAAACCATGCTAATCCTCCCAAAACATAACCTGGCAAAGTTGCAGCAGGGTCGGCTGCGAAAGCTTTATTGAAATACCCATTGTCTAAAAAGACTGTACCAAAATTTCCGACAATATTAATTACAAAAAAAATACCTCCAGATCTCGAGTGCATAGTTAAATAAGACCCACCAGCATTACCTTCTCTTGGCTGAGTTTCAGCCAATTTAGTAACAGCCTCCCAAACAACTGCAGGTGACCCTAATCTATCCGAAGTTGCAAACGCACTGAAAGAAAATACCATAATAATAACTATGATAACAACTGTATGCGCATAATCTGTCAAAAAAGTTGCCTTGATTCCACCGAATAAAGTATAAACCACTACACCCAATGGCAATAATAAACATGCGGCAACTGTATTCATCCCTGTTAAATCACTAACAACAGCACTACCTCCGCTTAATAACATGGCTGTAACTAGAACGTTTGTAGCAAGACCAAAGAACAACATAACTCCATGCGCACCGCTACCATATCTGGCTTTAACAATTTCAAGATATGTATGTGCTCCTGGTGCCCTCTCTTTTGCCTTGATAGCAAGACATGAAAATAGCACAATCTGACATGTGGCTCCAGCAGCATAATAGAATGAGCCACTAATACCGTTATTATATGTTTGTGTGGTCGATGTTAAAAGAGTTGCAGCCCATGTCCACGAACTCACCACGGCAGCAGAAATCAACGATTTCTTAACTGATCTACCTGCCGTAGCGAACTCTTCGGCAGTGATTATTTCTTTATTGTACCTTCTTAAAACAAACGTAGTTAAGATCATACCAGCAGCAAATACAACTCCCAACCCTACTACTACTGCGTAACCAGCAGCTTGAGGTAATGGAACATATGTTTCAGTCATATTTATTATTTAGTTTCTTATATCTATACTACGATATCAGGTAAATTTTTCTTGTCCTGAATGAACCTATATATATTGTTTGTCAACTCTTGAAGAATAAATTTCATGATTATTTGAATTTACGATAAGAGACATAATCTCTATTTTAGTTCAATTGGTATAGATAAGTGCATTATTTAATGGCCCGATGGCCCGATGTCTCTTCTGACAGGGTTCCGCTTCTAAATGGTTAAATAATCTGTTATCTAGGCGATTCGGTTATCAAATATGGCAAAATCATATCAAGATGATTACATAATAATTATCGTCTATAATTGATAAGGAATCTATTGTCCTATGAATAAATGGCTTATCTTTTACTCTTTTTAGCTCTCTACAGTAAAACTAGTGTATTATTACGATATACTGCTAGTAAAACTATTGGTCAATTTTGGTGGAGTAAGATCTCAGATGCTGTAATGTTGTATATTAAAATTATTGCAAACGCATATGTAGTATTTATTTAAGAGAAATTCAAACCCTGTAGGTCGTTTAGAGAATAACTAGCAACTCCTGTACCATGAGCTGGGGTTGCGTTTGCATTAGATATAGAAGTTACGCTTGAGCCAGGGCTTGCTGAATCATCGTAGTTGATTTCAGGCTTGAAGTTTATTAAATTCTGATTCCTCTCAAGGTAGTATTGTTGTTTCAAGTTTTCAGTTATATTCTTTTGTTCCAGAAGTACTTCTTTTTTGATCTGATTAACTAATTCTTCAGTTATTCCTGTATCGCCAGATGTATTTTCCATGAAGTGGTTTATAAAGTAGAATGTCCCCAGGATGTTCTGGTCGATTACTACTAAGCCTGATTCGATACATTTTTCAATTTCTTCGATCGTAATACCATACGACCAACCGAGCTCATCACAAATCTCAGGAATAGTATTTCCCTTGAAGAATTTATAATTTTCTTCCATGTACCCATCTTGATCGGCTTCTTGTTCTTCAAGGCCCATAAGAATTTCGTTTTTCACTTTGTCATGAATAAACAATCGCTCCTGCGAGCGTAAGAAATTGACAATAAATTCACTATAATCGTTATTCCTCTTATAGCAAATAACTATCAATCCAGATCGCTCGTAGTTTTTTAATGCAATAGGTAATTTTAGGCTGTCAAATAGATTAAGCGACTTATTAAAATCGACTTGTGAAATCAAATCGGTACCAAACCCTTGAGTTGATACGAGATATCGGTTATAATATGCATAAAGATCTTGGGATGTTATCATCGACGAGCTTTTAGTCAATTGGAAGTTGGTAAGATATTCACTAATATGTCTCGCCAATTCCTGATGATACAAATTAGACGTTTTCTTGATGTTCAAAGGCGGAATAATCGTGCTTACGTTTTGAGGTGTTGTTTTAATCAATTTACCGAACGAGCTTGATAATTTGATTAAATCTTGGGCTTTGTACATCAATTGTTCGAGATCCTCCAATGACGAAGATAATACTAATTCATTTTGTTTCCGTTGTTGCTCTCCGATTTGCTCCAATCCATGGATTCCACCCCCTTTTATTTGCTGAGAAGGTGGTGTTGGTGAAGAGTCGTTCACCTTAACTCCATTCTCATTAATTGTACCTTTATTTACAAGTTTCTCCCATTTAATCTTATCTATCATATCTGCTAGTATTTGATAAAACTGGGATTCACCATTTTTTCGAAAACTTAACTTGATGTATGGCTTATTATTGGTGTACACTTCCGAATCATTTTCTAGCAAAATATTCATTGGGTTCATATCTTCTGGTATAGTCGCTGTGTTATCCGCGACGTGTAGCCTATCTTTCAATTTCTTCGATAGCGATGAATTCAACTCGCTTCCACATAATTCACAGTATTTCAAGGCTGGATGATTGATAAAAGTACATTTGGGGCATTGGTCGTCGCGCAAAGACTGCTGGGTTGGGTTTTTGTCTGGCTTAGAATTCTTGTCGTTATTTCCGTTGGCCAGCGTCTCTGTACGTCTTCGCTCTATGGAATTCACCATTTGGTCCCGCGAC